GGACCCTGGGCGAATGGACAAGGGGGGACCTCAAGGTAAAATGGTCACCGAACCTTGAATTCCTCGAACGGCTATTCCTGTAGAAGAGACCGCGAGCACTACAGAAACCGTGATAACAAAAAGCCGTAGACAGATCAAAGACAGCAAAAGAAACAATAAAAGAACCCAAAAAAAACACACAACAGAAAACGAAGAGAACACTTCAACTTTTCAATGTATCGCTTGAATAGGACTAGGAGGATGCACTAATAGTCTGAGCTCGATTGACCAGCGGTGATGATGTAGACAGTTGAAACAGCTCTAAAAGTCTGCAATATTCAAGGTTTGTAGAACATCAATTTGGGCCAGTCTCTTGCGAAAAACCAAGGAGTTTTCACTGGAAGTAATCTCTTTCGGTAAGAGATTGAGCCACCTTGACGTTCGGCATACAAAAGAATTGAAGGCTATTGAAAGGATTCTGTTATTTAATTTGCGATAGCGCACATTCAGCCTACCTGTACGAGTTCCGCAATGCCTAAATATCCAAAACTTACTCGCTCTTAATCTTGTTTCTAAACGTATTATGCGGAAGGCAAATACCAAGTCATTGAATACTCTTCTGTATTTTAAGCTGCGTAAGTTCAAGGCGGATAACCTCAATCTGTACGTGGGTAAAGATTGAGGATAGTCGGGGGTGGGAAAACAGCGATAGAAAACAATTCTTGTAAATATTTTTTGGACCCTTTCAATCGATTCAATATCTTTTTTCAAAAAGGGGTTCCACACCGGTGAGGCATATTCTAGATGCGGTAGAACATACATTTTATAAAGTTTTACTAATAGCACCGGGTCATTACAGTGGATATTACGTAAAAGAAGGAAAAGACTTGAAAGTGCTTTTTCAATAGCTGCGTCATAATGGTGCGTGAATCTTAACTGATTATCTACTAAAACACCAAGATCTCTAGTAGTGCTACAGGATTCTAAAGTGATCCCTTCATACTCATAAGTTGGGCACGGAGAACTACCAAGGTGCATCATTTTAGATTTGAGGGCATTGACAGGCAGATTCCAATCTCTGGACCACAAAGTCATTTTTTGGATCGATAAGGAAATTGCCTCAAATGCTTCATTATATTGGTCCTCATCATAGCATAGATATATTTTAATGTCGTCAGCAAACATTTGAATTTTCATATTGGTATGTGTTTTGAGTATTGCGGGCAAATCTGCTGTATAGGCAAGAAAGAGGAGTGGCGATAATATGCCACCTTGAGATACGCCGCTGAGGCAGCTGTGTCTTTTGGAAAAACAGTTACCAACTCGAACAGTCATTCCCCTTTCTTGCAAGTATGAGGTAAGCCAAGAAAGAAGTTGACCTCGAATACCGTAATTTTCTAGTTTGAGGAGTAGCTTTCTATGGTCAACCCTATCAAATGCTTTCGAAAGATCAAAAAATATGATATCCACTGATTTGCCATGGTTAAGGGCAACCATCCAATCATGGACTGAATCACAAAGCAGCGCCGTGGTCGAGCCACCTCGCAGAAAGCCATATTGCTCCGAAGGAATAATATTGTTGTGTTCAAACCAGTCAAGAAGCTTATTCTTGATAATTTTTTCAAGAATTTTGCCGGATGGCGGCGTAATACTAATGGGTCGGAAATTGCTAATGGCATTTGCTTGGTCGCACTTAGGTATGGCAGTGACCAGTGCCTCTTTCCAGATGTTAGGGACCTTGCCTTGTGCCAAGGAAGCGCTGAAAATAAGAGAAAGGGGTAGGCAGAGGGCGCTAGCACATTTCCGGTAAACAATTTGAGGAATACCGTCGTAAGAAGCACTGGCTGTTGCATCGAGTTTCTTGAGGATATCATAGACTTTGGCTGGGTTTACATGTAATTCCGAACAAGAAGCAGGTACTCGATCAAGCTGTAAGGTGATATTGGAAATTTCATCAGAAGAGACTGTCATGAAAGAGCTAGCGAAATGATTGCCCAATGCTTCTGATTTTTCACTATCGCGAGTGTAGATATTTCCATAGTCGTCAAAAAAATTGGGCAGTTTTTGTTGGCCTTTACTTTGGTGTCTAAGATATCGGTAGAGCTCCTTCGCATTGGTTCTGGACAATCGACGCTCTCTATTGCTCAAATATTTCCTTATATGATAGTTGATGTCTTTACAAATTTTCCTGTAAAAGTGGTTATTCAAGGGGTCAGGCAATCGAGAGAAAAGCTTATTTTTCTGTTCTAGAAGGTTTTGGATTTGAATAGGATACTTTTTGAGTCGAGAGTGGTCGAAACGAAGAGGTACATACTGACCCAGAATAGAATATAGTATTATACAAAAATGATAGTAAAGATTGTCAACAGATTCATCGCGTAGCACACTAAACCAGTCAATATTGAGAAGAGCTCTACTGATATCTGTAAAGTCTGCTTTACTGAAATCAGGATACGGGAGAAAAGTGGCTTTATGAGGATAAAAAGCTATTTGGAAGCTGATAATGTTGTGATCAGATGTCCCAAAGGGAGCAATGGATTCGACGTTTGTGATTTCTCTGCCACTAGATAAAACCAGATCGATGGCCGCCTTCCCTCTAGTGGGGAAGTTGACGTGCTGATAAAGATTACTTTCAAAAAGAAAGGAGTAGAGCTGAGAATTGCGAGGGAATGATGGCGATAATACATCGATGTTGAAATCACCGACAACGATAGTATTAAAAGGAAGAGAACAAAGGTCATATAAAGCATCAGCTAGTTTTGCATCGTCGCTTGAACTAGAAGATGGGGGGCGGTAGATAACAATTACTCTGAGAGGCAAAGAAGACCGAACTGACCAGATATTCGCAACAAGAATGTCAGATAAAAGATCACTGATGAAACGAACTCGCTCTACGGCATAATCTTCTTTGACTAAAAGACATACCCCACCACCTTTGCATTGAGTCCTATCCGTGCGATATATAGAGTAAGGAAAACTAGAGGTTAATTCAGAATTTTTGATTTTGGGGCTGAGCCAGGTTTCCGTAACACAGAGTAGGTCAGGAGAATGACAATTCAAGAAGGCATGAAGGAGATGTATCTTGTTGACGAGGCTTCGGGAGTTGAAAAGATAACAATTTAGCTGATCGTATGGACCGGGCAAGTTCATGCGTTTTCCGGAAAACGGCGGTTTGGAAGCTCTGAAATCCGTCTCAGTTCTCCCTTATAAACAACCCATTCCTTTACATTTTTGCCCCTGTTTCTCTCCTTTGCTTGCTGCCTCAATTCGTATTCCTGCGCCCTCTCGGAAGCCGTCATGCTTCTGCGGATAAAAATGTTGGAAAATTCGGACTGCCGCAGAAGGTGTGCATTGGCGAGGACCTGGCTCCACTGAGCTTTAGACGGAAAAACTAATTTTACTAAACGAGGCCTAGTTCCGTCGAACTTTCCCATACGGAAAATCTCGGTGGGAAAACAGTCAACTTTCAAGGTCTCCAGAATATCCGCTACGCCTTTTTCGAGTTCAGACTTTCTTTCGAGAAGCGTCTTGCCGGATTCCGACTCTTGCAATCCCGCGATTACGACACTGCGCTGTCTCTTCTCCGCTTCTACATCAGCGGGGATCTTTGACTGGAGAGCAAGCAGCATTTTTTCCATCAATGGGTCCGTATTTTTATTCAAGAGGGAAACCACAAGTTCGCTTGCCGTCATATTAGCAAAATCCTCAGTGTTGCCATCGGAAACTGCTAGAGGCTGAGAGAGACTTTTAGAAGTTGTTCTTCTAGTCACGCGTGAGGACACAGGTTGAGTGCTTGACCTCCCAGAACGTGCGGGCATGGCGGATTATTGATTGGAGGAAGAAGGAAAAGATGAGGAAATGATAGAAAGGTAAAGGAATGAAAGCTAAGCGGACAAAAATTCTTAGGCTACAAAAAATGAGTTTTGGAAGTGATAGGAATGAGTGAAAAGTCAGAAATGAAGGTGATGATAAGAGCTGGAAAAAAAAAGCGACCACTCAGGGCGCGCGCAGATGAGGAATTTTCATTATTTACGTTTATTTATTAAGCATTAGGTGCTTTACGAATCTAAATTGCTTCCGCAAGTCTGCATCACTCTGCTTAAAAAACGTTCTTAGGTGTTAACCGCTTTAGAATTTGTTCTGATTAATTATGCACATTTTCACAAAAAGCTTCGATTAGGATAAAATACCAACTGTCTAATCATAACACTGCAAGTTTGCATTTAGTACTATCAAATGCACCCCCTAAGCGGCAGCAATCTCGACTGCAAGCCATGGAAGACATAACTGCACTGCAGGTATGATACGTCCAGAAAAATTCTAAGCGGATGGATCATGCATCTTCGGAGCTTTCGAAATTTTAGGAACCTTTTTTCAGGAAACTCCTTCATGTTTATCTCTTCCTTCTCAATTTCCCATTATGTCCACAAGTCGTGTGACAAATCAGGTGTTGTCATTCTATGATCAAAACATTTTCTTAAAACTCATGTAGCAAATCCAGACATCAGCTTCACACTACAGCGATGACAGCGGAAATTCCACACTGCTTTCCAGTAATTTAGTACAAGAGGACCTTCAAACCTGCTTGGCGGATCAGGTAATATTTGTGGCAGCTAATCATAAACTCTCGCATGATAACGTTTTAGATAGGCTCTAAGCAGCAGTTGGGTGGAAGCAACGCCACAACTTCAAATTTGGAGTCACGGAAAAAGGAGTCACATCGCTTCTTAACGAAAGCTGAAAAGGAAGCACATAGAAGATCTACAGAAACCCAAGCTGCGCGCGATCTACGTCTTGCTGCTGATGTACAACGAGCAGCTTTGAGGAAATCCAATGAAACTGAAAGCGAGCGCAAGCTACGCCTCGCAGTCAATGCAGAAAGGGCCAGACTGAGGAACGTGGCTAAAGACGAAGAGAGCAGAGCCGACCGCCTTGCTAGAGAGGCTGAAAGAAGTAAAAAAAGAAGAGCGGCTGCTACTGCTGAGAAGCGGCTACTAAGGTCACATACAGGAGTGGATACCATGCAAGCACAGCCTGTGGCAGTATCTCGTAGAGACACTGCGCAAAAATCTCGGAAGCGTCCTCGATCACAGCAATCAGGAGAAAAAGATTGCGTTCCGAGTACTTCCATTTTAAACAATTTCGAAGTCGTGGTTAGTTCATATACTGGAAAGTTTCGATTACAACATATAATTTACAGGAAAACGTTCCGGGTGCAAATTCTTCATATCTTTCTAGCGATATATCTATAGAGGAAATGGCAGATGAGGTTTTCAAAAACGAGAAATTGCTTGAAGGCTTTACGTTTTGGATTCAGGGCGAATTAACATCGCTTGAGCTATTTGAGCAAGAGAGTACTAGCACAATCCTCAACCAACGCATATTGAAAACCTCACAGATTGAAGAATCGAATTCCACTAACAATGAAGTAATTACTACTTTTTTTAAATGGTTTTGATGAGTTTTCTATGTTTGTGGATCTAGCAAACTCAGATATCTAAAGTCCTATGACTTTTTTTTGTTCAGAGCAACTTTGCGAGGACTCCAACGATTGCGTCCACTGTGCTCTTGCAGGATTTGACTTCGCAGGTATATAGCAACAAAACCTCTTTAGAAAAGCTTAAATGCTGCACTTAATCCACGTTTTGTACAGGCCCCTCGTGCACTGGAAGTAAACTTGAATGACGTAGATGAGAATAGTCTCAATTTCACAACTCACCGAAGTTCAGTACGTAGAGGGCACCAAGATTGCGAGGTTACACTACTTCCCAGTGAGATCTCTTCGACTACATGGGGAACTGTGGTGAGCTTGGGTTATGCACATGTTTTGAGTGAAATCACTTAGTATTTCAAGTATCCTCCTCCAAGAACTGCGTTCAGTGAGTCTTTGAATACAACTACAGAGCAGTCTACGATTCAGGTCGGGTCACATGAAACCGTTGCGCTAATTGAGTAAAGCAATGTTTTAGATGAGGTTAACTCGGGGCAATGAACAGCGTTGCCGCAGATCGCCTCCCAACTTCGGCATAGCTTTGACTGGGAATAACATAGCGGAAAACTACTTAGGAGTTCTCAATGTGAGCTGCAATCACTGCGCAGCTCTCTATTTTCCTGGCGAGGCTAAACCTAGGAACGGTTGCTTCAATATGTGTTGCAATTTTGGAAACATCTCTCTGGATCTATTTTCAAATTTCCCGGAGCTTTTCTTTTCCCTATACACTGGAACAAGTGACCTCTCGAAGAATTTCCGTATGCATATTCGGTCTTATAACAGTGCCCTTGCCATGGCTTCAATGGGTGCACAAGTGGACACTCCTCGTGGCTTCGGACCTTACTGCTACCGAATCCACGGCCAAGTATACCATTACGTCGGTCCCGCGAGACCAGAAAAAGGACTTCGTCCACAATTCGGACAAATATATATACTAGACACGGACGCTGCAGCTGCCGAAAGAATTGGAAACCCAGCTAATGCAAATTGTAATGCAACTGTGATGCAGCAGTTATCATCTTGGTTGCACTCCCACAACAGTTATGCTGCATCAATCAAAATGATGGGAGAGGTGGCTGCAGAAGAAGAACAACGAGCTCTCATTGAAAAAAGGCAAATACCAACAATTCGCATGGTTTTTGATGAAGGCGGTAGTTTGGATCGTCGTCGGTACAATGTCCCCGCTTCAAGCGAGATCGCTGTTGTCTACGTAGGAGAAGACAACGATGTTCCGGCAACTCGCTCTCTAGCAATCCATTACAGAGGAGGTAGTTTGAAAAAAATTCGAGACATTGACGGTTGCTGCGACCCGTTAACTTACCCTTTGATATTTCCTAGGGGAGGACAGGGGTGGCATGTTGACCTGAAAAAGAACCCGAGCACGCGCATCCGGACAAGAATAAGTCAGCGCGAGTTTTACTCGAATTTGCTTGCAGTGCGCCGGTCTTTCAATCCACTTCATTTTGCCGGGAAACTTATGCAGCAATTCGTCGTTGATGCATATGTGAAGATTGAACAAAATAGACTAAATTATGCCCGAACACATCAGAAGGAACTTCGAGTCGATAGCTACAAAGGGCTTATGGATCACTTGGCTAGAGATGATACAGACGGACCACCAGGTCAACGGATAATTCTACCGTCTTCATTTCAAGGCAGCCCCCGCGCCATGCATCAGGCTTATCAAGACGCGATGGCCATTGTGGCAAAATACGGAAAGCCCGACTATTTCTTAACGTTTACTTGCAATCCTAAATGGAAAGAAATAACCGAGAATTTGCATCCAGGCCAATGTTCGTCCGATCGACCTGATTTGGTGACCCGCGTATTCAACCGGAAACTGGAAGTCCTGCAAGATCATTTATTTGAAAAGAAGGTCTTAGGGCGTGTAGCAGCTTACGTTGGGATCGTAGAGTGGCAAAAACGAGGTCTTCCTCATTGCCATATGCTTCTCATCATGGCCGCAGATTCGAAGCCAAGGACCAGCGAGAATGTTGATGCAGCAGTTCAGGCGTGTCTTCCAAGTGTCACAGATAGTCCCCGGCTTCTCAGCATAGTAGCAAGGAACATGATCCACCGTCGGTGTGGGACAACCAATTTGAATGCACCTTGCATGGTGAATGGAGAGTGCTCAAAACGGTTCCCAAAGGAGTTTCGAGACACAACTGACGTTGATGTAAACGGTTACCCCAACTATAAAAGGCCTGATGACGGCCGCACAGTAACGATTAGAGACGAAACGTTCGACAACAGGCACGTTGTGCCTTATAATCGGTATCTGTTGCTGCTTTTAAACGCACACATAAATCTTGAGATTTGCGGTTACGTGCAAGCGGTCAAGTACCTTTATAAGTACGTATACAAAGGTCCGGATCGAGCTGCTTTACGATTGCTGCAGCAGGATCCCATCCGACAATCTGACGAGATAAGAGCTCACCTGGACGCTCGCTACGTATGCTCGCCAGAAGCACTTCATCACATTTTCATGTTCGGAAGCCAATTTAAATCCGCTACTGTTTACCGCCTTCCCGTACACCTTCCCGACTTCCAGTTGGTGACTTTTCAGTCAGGTGGGGAACGAGAAGCAGCAGAACGCGAGGCAAGCAAAGACTCCATGTTAACAGCTTGGTTCAAGCTTAACATCGAATACGAGCTTATGGAAAATCAGAACATTATATGTGATGGTGTAGATGCTCGCAATCTTTGCTACCATCAGCTGCCTGAGCACTTCACTTTTGTGAACGCACGTAAATGGAAAAGAAGGGGAAGAGGAAGTCGCCAGATTGGACGCATGTATATGGTGTCTCCCGCAGAACCAGAGAGATTTGCTCTACGTATTTTGCTCCTTCATCGGAAGAACATGCATTCTTTCGAGGACCTTCGCACTGTCGAAGGTAATGTGCATTCTACATTTCTAGATGCAGCGAGAGCTTTGGGATTTCTGCGTGACGATTCCCATTACGAGAGCTGTTTGGAGGAAGCTACTCAGTTTCAAATGCCTGCGCAATTAAGGGCGTTGTTTAGTTATATGCTGGCGTTCTGTGAAATGTCTGATCCACGACACTTATATGATCGCTTCAAGGCTGACATGGCTGAAGATTTTAGTCATGGGGGAGCTACAGCATCTGATGCAGAAGCACTTGCGTACTACGATCTATATGATAGACTGCAAATACTGCGTTACGACCTTCCTGCCAGTATCACTCCACCTACACACATTCGACCAGTACTACAGGACCAAACTGACTACGCTTCTCACGAGGAAAAAGGCAGGGAAATGTATCAGTGCCTCAATAGGCAGCAGAAATCAATCGCAGACAGTATTCTAGCTTCCTTTGATTCGGATGCGTCTAAGCTACACTTTGTCGACGGTCCTGGAGGCAGCGGAAAAACCTATCTTTACAATTGCCTATATCATGTGTTGAAAGGAAAACACAAGTCTATCATCTGTGTCGCGTGGACAGGAATTGCAGCAAATTTGTTACCTGAAGGCAGGACAGCCTGCTCAACATTCAAGTTGAATATGAGGTCTGGAAATCGAGAGAGCACATTGAGACGTGAATCTAAAGAGGCCATCCCTCTAAAAGAAGCAGATATAATCATCTGGGATGAAATCAGCATGGTTTCAAAATTTTCTTTGGAGGCAATCGATCGTCTTTTCCAGGATCTGATGTGCAACACTAAGAATTTTGGAGGAAAGACTGTAGTCTTGGGCGGGGACTTCCGACAGGTGTTGCCTATCATAGAGCGTGGAAGGGATGCTGATATGGTTGATGCATGCGTAAAAAATAGCGACCTCTGGGAGTTTTTTCGCATGCATCAGCTTTCAGTCAACATGAGATCCGCAGAATCTGGCTCTTCTTGGTGCGATTTTTTGATGAGAGTTGGAAATGGAGAGGTAGAAGAAGACGAAATGGGACGAATAGAGATTCGTTTTGACATAATCGCAATTGTTTTCTCTTCTGCGAAAGCATGCAGCGGCGTGCGGCCGCTGCGGTCAGTGCGGTCAGCTGCAGTCTGCTGCAGTCTGCAGCAGTCTGCAGCGGTCAGTGCAGTCAGCTGCAGACTGTTGCAGTCAGTGCGGCAGTATGAAACAACCCAATGAATACCTCCCAATGGGCGGCGCTTCCGTGGACTACTGGTCCTTTCCCATGCATTACTGATGACGTGCCAGGACCTGTAGTCCGAAAACGAGGCGCCTGTTGGCAGTACCTATTCTTTCAGTTTTTTGATTTCAGTAATTTAGGTTCGAGTTGTTCTTCGATAAACGCATGTATGTTACCCTTCATCAGAAGTTCTATATTATTCAAAGCGGAATCATTGGGGATGGGATCATCACTAAGATACTTCCATCGCGCACCAAGTCCACTCCATTTGTAAGCTCTCATGTTCTCCTCACAAAATTCTGTAAATATTTTCTTAAACAGGAAAAGCTGATTGAAGAAATGCAGCTCACTCCCCGTGAGAAAATGTGCGATGACATTCTTTGCGTTAAAAATTCGCCCAAAGGAGAAGAACCTTGCAGCTCACACTCGGGCAAGAACAAGAATAAGAGCAAGAAAAAGTGAACATATATGATTATTGTGTTCGTATGTTATTGAAGTTGTTGATTCATGTCTTATTAATATTTGGATCATGGGTCGTCCGTGTTGTGCGCGGAATGCAACGTCATTGCGTACACTAAGAAATAGTTTATGATTGAACGAGAGAGCAGACGAAAAAGAGGCGAGAATGTACAAGAAAAGAGGAGTGAGGGTAGTACTCAGTTCCGCGCCCTGCGCGAACGGCCTATACTTGTTGGATTTCATATATCGATGAATTGTATTTGTGAAGATGTTGAGAGTGTGATCATAGTTGTTTGCGGTATGGAGTCGGCTCCATGTTGGGCTCAGTTCCGATCCGGTTCTTAAGCTGCGCGAAAAGGAAATCGGAAAAGGAATTTTTTATTTTTTTGGCATATATCACTGTTCTCGTCGATGCATGAACAATCCAAAAGTCTAACAATAAGTCCGTCTTTTCACCTCTGTCAGGATGTTCTTGCCACTGAATGTGGGACCGGTCTTTTCGTCCATCTGCTTGTGCTATTGTTGAAGAAGACTGGAAATCTCAATTCTTTGCTTCTTTGCCCTACCGGAAATCCTGTTATCATTGTTACTGGCTGCGCTCAGTTTAGCGAACCGGATCGGATACGGATCCATGGGCAACTATCACCACAATTAGTAGTTACCATCATAGCTGTCTTCTTTTCGTATGCTTGATTTGTGAAATAACGAAAATGCATCATATTCTTTTTTGATGTATTTTACGTATGTCTAAGCGTATAAATGGATTTAGTTGTATTGGTTTTTTTGCACTGAGGATGTTAGCTGTCAGGCAACTTAATGCTACGAAATATTGGTGAAACTCACCGCATTATTGGAACGGCAAAAATTCCGTCTTACTTGTCAACTTCCATTATTGTGTTAAAAATTTTTGGGACTAAGCGTAGTTCATGCAGTATTAAGTATGTCTAGCACTAGTCAGCGAAGGTCTCAGAATTTTTCAGAAGAAGCGCAGGCGAGAGGGGGAAGGCTTTTTTTATGGAGTGATGCCGTCTAAGAATTTTAGTATGCTCCTCATATTTCTCGCAACTTATTTGAAACCAAAAATTTTCACGAAAAGAGAGTGGTGGCTTCCTATTTGTATGGAAATCGTATATCGTCTCGATACAATACGTCTGCAAAAAAAATCAAACCTCCTTCCTGGAGATAGTAGTCTATAAAGCACTTTAAAAGTGTTAGTCTGAGATTTTCCAGTAGTCGGAAATTGTTTTTACCCGATGCTCATCGAAAACGAGTTCCGCAAAATGATCAAAAAGTTAATTGAAAAATCAAGTCTGTAAGTTTCCTGGGAAGAGTAAGCTTTGCTTTAGTTTACGAAGTGAAACATTGGCGGATTCTAAACAAAGATGATATCACATACTGTGAATTCCTGCAATTACCTATCTAAATTTCTCAGCAAATGGAGTAGTTTTAGTTGGTTACTAGAAAGAGCAATGTTGCAAAAGTTATATAGATCATTGCAACTAACTTCCAAATTTTGTTGGTTAAAACTTCCTTTTCTTCGACTAACAGTGAAAAAAATTGCATTGCAATAAGTGCCTTAAAACGGTCGAACGATTTATGAAGTCGAAAAAACTTGCTCAATTATGGTGTGTTACTTTGTGATACAATCCCATTCATCACAGTAATTTTGAATAAGTAATTTAGTGCCTTACGTTAGATCATCATTAGAACAATTGACCAGGGGGAGTGTCTAGTGGTATGGATTGGTTTCAACCTTATGACTGAGAGACCAGCACACAGAGAGATAAAACAGCGTTTATTTTGATTACAGAAACAATAACACGGCTCTTGGGCCAACAATGAACAAGAACGATGAACTATAATTTGGCTACGAGGAAAGTCCTCCGATTTGACCCTTCAGCAGGGTCAGTCTCGGTCAGTACTTGGGTTCTACTCTGTCGATACTTAAAGGCAGTGGATCGGCAAAATCCAGCAACTCGGGATTTTAACGCGGTAGGTTCCTTATCGCCCAAGTATGAAAACAGTGCAATCCCGGTTGCACAGCATGCCTTCCTTGCCAAGAAAATTGTTCTCAAACTTACACGCGCAGGCCATTCTTATACGCATCCGGACGAGTTGGCAATTTCCTTCTCACCACCGGGGGCTGCCCGCCGCAGTGCTATAACCATTGGGTCCTGCCACGACTTAGCGTCATTGGCCTTGCTTCACTCGTCCAATATCAAAGGGAGGGGCATCAAAAAACGCCCATTTTCGCCGTTTTCAAGCTTCCAAAAGTGGATTTTCGGGATCAGCGTATTGAAAAACCCAGGTAAGCGCAAATTTGACTAGGTTGAGATTTGCCGAGCCACTGCCTTCAAGGTGAAACCTGGCTCTCTTCTGACCAGCTCGTTTAAACTCCCGCGAGCCTCTTCTGCTCACACTCTCCTTCTTCCACCTCGTTTATACCCTGCTGCGAGGTCAAATTGGCCTCTTCTTTTCCCGCCATCGAATATTGGTAGATCGTTGATCCTTTCCATCCAACAATAATACATTTACATTGACGTAACCTTCTGGCTGCACCAGGAGTCACTCAGCGCACGTCGCAGCGCACGAATTTAACGAAAAAAATCCCCGCCGCTAAAGTGGCGGGGAAAAAGGGGAGGGGGGTGGCTGCGGATACGTGAGTTGCAGGAGTACTGGCGGAACCTGATTCCTGAACTAAATGGCGTCGCGTTGCGTCGCGAAAATTTCGTGCGATCGACTCTTTACCGTTTCCACAATTTTTACAGTAGACTGCGCAAAATCGCCCATATCGCAATAAGCCGGACGTCCGCGAGCAGGGCGCGGACGGAAGGAGGGGTTTTCCACCCGGAACGGCACTGTATAGTAAACTTTGGATACAGAACAGATTTATGTTTAAAAAATAATAGAAAAAACTGCAAATTGAAGGTCTTGCTATCAGGTGGCAGTTGCCACATTTGGAAAGAAGCTGGAACGCGTTTCATTTACATAAGTTCTCTGCCCCACTACACATACACACATCAAGGATGAAGCCGTATCGTTACCTGTGCATTGCAAAAGAATTCTTATTTTTACTAAAAAATTTTCAGGGAAAAGCTTGCCATGAACTTCGCATAATCATGTCATATTACTCTACACTATGCTCCTCCTAGCCTCTGTCCGTTCATACACCAAATTCGGAGTCATACCTACGTGTGCATCGTAAACGAAGCAGCTGCTACTGAATTGAAGAGATTTGGAATTTTCAAGATGACGCAAGAACAAAATTATGTTTGTGCACGTCAATCGAGTAGCAACTTGTTGAAAGAGTGCGTACGCACATAAAAACGTGTCTTAACGATGTTCCCTTTGCTATTCTCGACCTTCAGCACATTTGCCAGCCTCTTGCGGACTGATATGTTTGCGCGCGAACAGGAAGAGAAACTCCCCCATTGCCTTCGCTCTCCAGTTCGCGTTCGCCCTACAGTTCGCCCTACAGTTCGCCCTCCAGTTCGCCCTTCAGTTCGTCTTCCAGTTCGCCCTCCAGTTCGCCCTTTTTCGTTACGGTTGGAATGAACATCAAACTGATGAGTTTGAGACTCTCGTGAACAACTTTTCAGGGCTTCTAAATTCCAACTGTTCAATCCGACGAGCATTCCTCAGAAGACTGCTGTTCATTCTGTTGGTCGACGACCATCTGATATGCAACCTACTGGTTCCAAAACACCTGCGTGCGTGTGTTATTCCCACATTTTCTATCTCAAATGCATACCCATAATCTCGTGATGTTGTAGGTAAAGCATTCTTTCATCGTAAAGTATATTCTGTAGGCGAATCATAGCACGCAAAGACTGCAGACGTATCGGCGTCTCTCTGATCGAGCGCTCTTCCCTTCCTCTAACCATCTGCTGTCTCTTCCATGCACGGACTATCCTTATCAGACGCAACGGCGCCCAGTCTTTACGCGTCATGAATAGCGTCTATACAGTCTTGGTCAATGCGTATTTTTTCTCTAGCGCATGTATTAATTGCTCAGTAAGGTGTCACGCAAATGTACTGATCTGATTATGACACGAGTAAAGACGTGGCGCGAGACCTGGCAGAGCGGACGCGTGCATTTATGCATACAGTAGAAGTACCAGTTGGCATTAACACATCGGCGACAATGCAAATTTTTGATTGTCTGCCGCTTGGGACCAAGAGCTTTCACGGACCAGCCAGGTTTTAGATAAAATCACGCATACTGCCATCTTCAGTACACATACAGTAGCTGTGCAAGGCTGGCAAAGAAAAATAAGGTCATTTCAAGATTCACAGCAAAAGAAAACTTTTGGAATATGCTTGTACCAAAGTAGTCATCATTTTAACGCGGCTCAAGCCTTGACACACCATATGTGTCAAGCGGTCCCAGGTGGTAGTCATTGCTTGACACACATGGTGTGTCAAGCGGTCGTCAATGTGTTAAAGCAGCCTGTAGTTTGTTTTCAGGCCATCTTCCATGTCGGCACCTTACTGAGCAGGGTTGTGATTTTGAGCAGGGCTCGACACGAGTTGGCTTTGGCGACATTTTGAAAAACGAAGTTTCCATTGACCTCGCAACAAAATTAGACGTCCCCTATAAGACTTTTATAATTGAATTTAACATGAAGTACAAAGAAAAATAGCACAGAACACAAAAAAACGCAAAATACTCGATGAAGAAAACGAATACTGTTCGTATTCGCTGAGTTGGCGGCATGCTGTGTCCAATGCGCACCACCGGCTGCTTGGAGCAGGATCACCGATGCCATTTAAATACTTTGTGGGACGTAACTGAACGGAGGGGTGTTTGAGCAACGTCAGTTCTGATGTGTAGGCTTTAACGAGAGATTTGAGTTATGGATAGTGTGGAAAAATTATGTGAGGAAGAGGACATATATGAGCTTGTTTGCAGGTGGCTCAAGAGCCACCTAACTCGGAAATAGCTTGACATGCCTTCAATTCACATAGTCTTTTTCGTAATTTTCTTTTCCACTCCCCAAACAATCGCCGGGGCAGGCGGATCGCAAACTCGCTTTTTTCAGGCGGTCAGCAGAATTCTGGGGCTTGGCCAAACCTTTAGCGAGCACATCCTTTACTGTCGCATGTTCTGACAGCGGGCAGCAATACGGGATTTTCTGCAAGCGGTCCTCAAATGGTTTGTTTCAGCGAGCGCTGGCCAAATTTTCGACAAGCGCTCTAACTCTTGTTACGCAGTTTCGGGCGAACGTCGATCTAAGGTAATACTCTACATGGCAGAGGTGTCATTGATCGTTTAATTAACCGAGTTTGGGGTACTTCAGCGGAAGGTACCTACGGGCTGGCGGTCCCTCACATAGGACTGTGTTACCCTCAGTAATCTTGCATATTCTCGCGGAAAGTCTGCGAGAATGCAGCCATTAAGGCGCAACTAATCTATGAAAAAGCCGGTTGTTCTCCGAGCATTCATTTAAAGTTTGGCCAACATTCTTCCAAATAACTGCGAGCGGGCCACAAGAAAACAGCGAACTATTTTTCCGGTGCCCGCTTGCCCATAAATCGTGTGGCCGCCTTCCCCCAGCGATTATCTGAGTCCCTACTACCAATCTACACCTAAGTTTGTTGACATATCATTTCCTGCCATTGTAAACAAGCCTTTTGTTTAGAGGAATTTTTTTCAATTTTCGCACTCGCAAGAAGATTGTATCAAAGTGGGAAATTGCTGGTTTGCAGAGAATGGGAGAGTTAGGGCACTGAGGAGCACTTGCGACGTGTGCAGAAATAGAAAGATAGGGAGGTATCTGTGGGGCGGTGGAGGGGATGGAAGCTGGTGGTTTGTATGTGTATGACTCATCCTATAATAAAGATAGGATAACTTCCATTTGTTACGGGGTGGGGGGGGGGGAGGGAGGGGGAGCTGCACAAATTTGATGATTCGATAGGCATGAATTTGGCTTACTCCACGCTTTTTTTTACTTGGTTGATCTTACGTAAGAATCCCTTTCAAATTGCCTTGCGTGATCAAAAGTTAATTTTTGCCACTCTGAAGACTCCGATTTAGCGCCGTGGCTTTTTTCTACACACCCTACTGAGCTGATACATGCATTTTTGGCTTTGCTCCAGACACCGTAAAAACGATATCCTTTTTGTTCACTTTTCTTTAAGCCGTAACAGGTTTTTAGAAGAACACTTTATTTACTGCCCGACGTATCGGCTGAATGCCGTCTTCAGGGGCCTGAAAGCGAGTCAGTCACTCATAAACCAAACGATCTAGATACCAGACACTTTCTTCAAACCGTATACTTGACTCATCTGTTGTGACGCAGATAAGTTCTCAAGTTGAACAGCTTACTAAGTGTTCCTGGTGAGGAGCGTAAGGGTGTTAGCTCTCTCTCTCACGGTCGCCCACAGCAAATGATGACAAAATGAGCGGTCCGTATAAGTACGACACGCTTAAATAGTATAGGCTACTCATAGCTCGCAAAATGATAAAAACGGCTTCAGATCACTGGTGATAGACAAATGTTCGTTCTTGCTGTTCATTTTGGGATTACGAGCACGTATGAGTGAAGCCTCTAACGCTTTTCGAGCAGCAATATGTTCTTCGACGGCCAAAATACAACGCTGGACTTCAAAACCATCTCCTCCATGATCCTCTTTTCTGTGCATCCCAAGAAAGCTTACGAGACTCTGTCTTCTCTTACTAGCCAGATGTTCGCTAACACGTACATGAAGCGGTCGACCAGTTTTGCCTATGTATATGGCATGGCATATCTTACACTTCCTAGTAAACATACACTCCGCATTTCGAACAGTCTCCTAATCTCTCACCTGTGTAGACAGCGCGATTTTGCATCACGCATTGTCTGTCATACAACCTATTGCGGACCAGTTGCTTTTTGATGTTGTCTTGAGGTATGTTCACTAGGACAACATCATCCGCCAATTGCGCTTGTAGTAGACATTGCTTGAAAGCGCTGCTTACTCTATCGGACACGAACGGTAAGCATAGTGATATACGTGATCGAATCTGACTGCTACCGTTTGCGCATGTTCTCTTGCGAGATCTGGACTGCAGTTGGTAACCATTCTTAACAACTATCTCATATGTCGATTTCGTTGATTCCAGTCTCTCAACTTCACCGCTGCAAACACTGCTCGCTGATTTAACACATTGACGACCAAAGCCTTTCTCGGACCAGCCTACATTTTTCAGATAAACGCACAATTCTATCTACACTACACCTACAGTAGCGTTGGGATGCTGGCAAAAACAGTAGAGATGGTATCTATGGCCAGCATAAAATAAAACCTTCAAAGTTGGTTCGACACAAATTAGTAGGCATTCTAATGAGAGTCGTGATGTGTCAACGGTCGTCAATGTGTTAAACATATTGCGCAGATGGATGCAGATGTAGAATGCAGAATTACATTGATAAAATAATAAAAATATAATAAAATAAATAAATAAAAATATGAATAATAAATAAAAAATAATATTAGGTTGTTGCATAGGTTCTGTCCGATTTATTCTACCTCATGTTTGAAGCAACTGATCTATGAGATCATCTCTAATGCAATATTGTTGGTATCATTGAAAAGTGCTTTCCTTGCGCTTTCTAAAGCTTATCAAAATTTCAACAAATTTCTTAGGCCCGTATGCACGTACGTCCCCGCTGGGGAGGGGAGGGGAGCTGGATCCCCAGGGGAACGATCCCCTCCGCCGAACCCCGCCATGACAGAGGGGAGGGGAGCGATCCCCTCCCCTGCACCTAAGCGGGGATGGTGTGAATGATTTCAGAGGTATTGATCGAGCGAACCCCAGTGCATACGGGGTTCGAATGGGGGAGGGGATCCCTTCCCTTCCCCCACTCGAACCCCGTATGCGCGAATTCAACTCAATAACGCGGGGGAGGGGATCGACATCCCCTGCAACGAAGTAGGGGTTCGATGGTGTAGATCATGCCAGAGACGCGGATATTCTGGTTCTGCTCAGTCATTACCAAGCATTTCGTTCATTTTGATGGAGGATTTTCTTTGAAAGCCTGGTTCTTCTCTCAGCGACCTGTGGCTTGCAATTTGTCTTTCTTTTCTATATTCGCCTCTTGAGAAGAAATCCGAGCAACAATAGCTGCCAATTTCGATTATTTGTAGGAGTTCTTGATCATTCAGGAAATTTGCGCATTTTTCATATAACATAATAGTTTTAACTATATAGGCTGGATAAACACACTGTAACTTTCATATTTCATGACATGTTGCCATTATCTTGTTTTTTTTAAATAAGCTGCCTCGAAAAAATCTAGAAAGTAGCATATTTGCCTATTTCTGAGTAGAAATCCCCTGGGGAGTGATCCCCTCCCCAGCGTTCCCCTTGTGCATAGCAGGGATGGCTGCTGGGGATCATTCCCCTGGGATAAACGACGATATGCAGCTGATAGTTACAGCGTTTATGGAGAGCTGGCACAATTTGCAGCTTCTGTTGTGTGTTGTTAGAATACTGCCTTGAGCGTCCGCGCGGCACCCCCCCCCCCCTTTTCGGCGGCATAACGTCTTCTACCCATTCCCTTGCAGAGACACATCAACTTCTATAGTTCAACATTTTGACGCTGAAATGGAGCAGCATGAACGAAAGTGGGCAGCATCCAAGAAAGCAGGAACATAATGGGAGTAGAAAAAATCATTTTTAGCGCCCCGAGCGCAGTCACTGCATACGCACATTCCGCAACCCTAAATTAAAGTGAGGAGATGAAGATGAGTTGCAGTCAAAATATAAAATAAGAAAGAGTTTTTCATAGAAAATTTGAAAGCAAGGTGATTTCCCCGCTTGATCCCCTCTTGTGCATAAGAGGGTTCACTTCCCCTCCCCACAGGGGATCCCTTGTACGATATTGTCTTTGTGCATACGGGGGTTCGCGCGGGGAGGGGAGGGGATCCCCAGCGGGGATCATTTCAATGGTTAAGCGCACATCCCCTCCCCGCGGGGATGTACGTGCATACGGGCCTTAGTGTAAGGCAGTGGCGTACCCAGGATTTTGGCTCGGGGTGGGGGGGGAGGGGGACGCGGCAAAAATTTTTTTCAGATGAAGGTGGGTGGCAACAGCCACGCACTCCGAAAAATTTTTAGGGGGGCTTCTTGAAATTTTTGCGGGTCCCCAACCCCTAAATTCTGGAAAAAGGGGGCGTGGCGTCAGCCACGCCCCCGGAAAATTTTATAAGGCTAATTTGAATTTTTAAAAAATTTTTAAAATTATTTTATCGCTTACAAAAATAAGTAAGTCACTTGCACATCTTCATAACTCATGTAAGTAACTTTCAAAAATTTCGCGACCCGTTCTCGGGGGGGGGGGGGGGGGCGCCCCCCTCGGTACGCCACTGGTGTAAGGAGATTTCAGGCCTAAAATCTCCAAATGGCCGAGGTACGTTCTCACCCTAGAAATATGTTCTTGCGAGAAAATCTCCACAATGCCCCCTTTAGGTCAAGTTTTTAATTGGTTGCGGAATAAGGGTGTAACAGGCTAGCATACGCATAAGTTCAGTTTCATGAAGAAAACGTCTTGCTAGTAAAATTTATTGTCAAACATCAGTTCTCTGTATAGATGTTTTACAAGCAATAACTTTCTGCGAATAGAAGTAATCGACGACTTCGAAGTTGGAGGTGCTAGAGTAAAGCAAGGGCTGGCAGAGACCACCAATTTCTTGTCGGCGCTCACGTCAATTGTAAAATTTTCATAATTCGTAATTAGGCATGCACACATGCGCTGAAGCGAGGTCAAAAAGTGGCTTCTTTTTTGTTCGGTCAAAAAAATCTCTCGGCAGCGCAAACCCTATGGGCTCTTTTATATTGAAAAATATCTACGAAAGATTCTCTATTTATCCTTTGTTAGAAAAGATGCCTATCATTCTCATAAGGGAACATTGCCATGTAAAAAAGACAGGTTTGAAGAAAAACGCTGTGAAGTTTTTGAGTTCTCGCTTCTTCCTTAACACGGATTTTTGCAGTTTTCAATATGTATCTGATAGCCAACTAATTGCTCAACACAAGGAAACTAAGGTTTTGGAAAAAAGTTGACTCTGAAAGAAGTTATGACATTTTGAACTCAAAAAATTCAAATCGGACAGAACTTATGCAACAACCTAATAAATAAAAAATAAAAAAATAAACAATTAATAAATAATAATACATAATAAGTAAATAAAAATAATAATAATAGATAATAAATAATAAATAATAAATAATATTAAATGCTTAATAATAAATAATAGTAAATATAAATATAATATTCAATATAATTGTGCATTCTACATCTGCGCATCCATGTGCTCTAAAACGAGCGACTATTCGCAATATGTTTGAAACAGCGAGCAGTGTTTGCAGCGGTGAAGGTGAGAGACTGGAATCAACGAAATTGACATACGAGATAGTTGTTAAGAATGGTTTTTGCCAGCATCCCAACGCTACTGTAGGTGTAGTGTAGATAGAATTGTGCGTTTATCTGAAAAATGTAGGCTGGTCCGAGAAAGGCTTTGGTCGTCAATGTGTTAAATCAGCGAGCAGTGTTTGCAGCGGTGAAGTTGAGAGACTGGAATCAACGAAATCGACATATGAGATAGTTGTTAAGAATGGTTACCAACTCCAGATCTCGCAAGAACATGCGCAAACGGTAGCAGTCAGATTCGATCACGTATATCACTATGCTTACCGTTCGTGTCCGATAGAGTAAGCAGCGCTTTCAAGCAATGTGTACTACAAGCGCAATTGGCGGATGTTTTCCTAGTGAACATACCCCAAGACAACATCAAAGAGCAACTGGTCCGCAATAGGTTGTATGACAGGCAATGCGTGATGCAAAATTGCGTTGTCTGTACAGGTGAGAGATTAGGAGACTGTTCGAAATGCGGAGTGATTTACCAGTTACAGTGTATGATATGCCATGCCATTTATATAGGCAAAACTGGTCGACAGCTTCATGTACGTGTTAGCGAACATCTGGCTAGTAAGAGAAGACAGCGTCTTGTAAGCCCTTTTGGGAAGCACAGAAAAGAGGATTATGGAGGAGATGATTTTGAAGTCCAGTGTTGTATTTTGGCCGTCGAAGAACATATTGCTCGAAAAGCGTTAGAGGCTTCATTCATACTTGCTCGTAATCCCAAAATGAACAGCAGGGACGAACATTTGTCTATCACTAGTGATCTGAAGCCGTTTTTATCATTTTGCGAGCTATGAGTAGCCTATACTATTTAAGCGTGTCGTACTTATTCGGGCCGATCATTTTGTCATCATTTGCTGCGGGCGACCGTGAGAGAGAGCTAACACCCTTACGCTCCTCACCACGAACTCTTGGTAAGCTGTTCAGCTCGAGCACTTATCTGCGTTACAATAGATGAGTCAAGTATAGGGTTGGGAGGAAGTGTCTGGTGGTCTAGATCGTTTGGTTTATGAGTGACTGACTCGCTTTCAGGCCCCTGAAGACGGCACTCAGCTGGAACGTCGGGCAGTAAATAAAGTGTTCCATTGAAAACCTGTTACGGCTTAAAGAAAATTGAACACTATCTACAAAACATGCCAAGGTTTTACAAAAAGGAGACATACAATCTACTTGAAGAGATATCCTTTTTGCTTTTAACAATCATAACGAAACAGCCTGCCCAGTAAACTACCTTTGCTGAATTCTGATCCTGGGAAGTTCCTAAACAAAGACTGTACAACAATTACCTGATCTTGGCTTGCTCATTGTCAGTAATTGGGCTTTTATTCATTTTCATGAAGCTTGGGATAATCCTATGCTTTGACCGAGCTAACGTCTTATCAACTGTTGTAATTGTCTAGCCGCATGGCGTATAGCCGTATATTTCATCTGATCTTGTTTTCGCCAATGTCATGCATGTCAATTCCGGCGTAATCCTGGTTGTATTTGTTCTATGGTGTTGTACTGTATAAAATACAAAGGTCATTGTTATTTCAGCGTTGTGAATGCTATGGCGTCTGTCGATGATGCGGAAACTCTCGACATAGTGGCACAAGTTGAAAGTTTGAAACTCAGAAAAAAGCTACAGCCTCTCTTCGAGGGCTCACGGTGGGTGCTTTTGTTAAAGTAAAGGGCCGGGCATACTTCACGCGGTTTGGCAATTCGCCAGAAGTGTTCAGATCCAACACTAGCAAACTGCACATGCATAGTGTGTATAACTTACGTGAATTGATGAAATGCCCTATCTTTTGTACATTTGAAATGTGCTTACAATAAGCTATGGACAGTTGGAATATTGCCAAGTCGCGTCGCGACTCAAATCGCGTGAAGTACGCCCGGCCCTTAAGGGAATTTATGTCAAAGCTGAACATGCAGAAAAAATGGCAGTAACGACAACTATGGCAATATTTTGCTGCATATAACATAAATCGAAAATGACTTGGTACGCAGAGGTGCGCGTCTAGCAAAGTCGGCTGGGATAGTTTCTTTGTTGCATTTTCCAGTAAGTCGCGCTTGGTTCTCCATGTTCGCAAATATCATGTCGTACCACAGATCAGTTGTTCTCTGCGCTCTTCTCTGCTCTAATGGCTCGCGTCCTTTCTCTTGACGCTATATACTTCCGCTCAGAAGCGGTTATTCTTGTTCAATGGTTCGGATTAGGGCCCGTCACAAGCCCGTTTCTAGAAATTTTTAAAACGAGCCCTTTGATTCCGAGAAGATTTTACGATGCCCTTTGACCTTTATTGGAAACCTAACGACTTCTGTCCGGCGTTTTTATACGTACCGTGGGGGAAATCTAACAATGGAAGAAAAAGCAAACAGAATTGTTCCAAACCAGGTTGGCATTGGGGCGCGATATTCAACAGAGCGGATTTGTGGACAAATTAGCTGGCATACGCGGGCTCCGTTCGGTCACGTTAGCACATGACAGAAACCATTACGCCTTATTCCCATAGAACGTCTTCCTGTCCGGTCCCACTTTTATATGCCATACCCTGCCTCTACTACGTTTCTTTAATCAGCATACCCCTAACCGTGTATCGACTCCCATTCCGATAGCTCAAATTTTGCAGAAGATCGACAAAGTCGATGAAGGTTGAAAATTCTAGGACCTGATATTGCATTCGTAATCCATGCTCACTTACCTCTGTGCCAACCCCCAGCCCCGTAGCTCAGACTTCGCAAAAAATCAATAAAATCGATATCGATCAACAAAGTCTTTTAGACATTCGCCTGGCCCCGAAGTGTATGTGTGTGAAGTTTGGATAAAGACAGACCTACAGACAGAAGGACATTCAGCTGCATAATTGTCCGCGGCAGAGCGCTACAGCTGAATCCTCAATGAAATTTGCGCATGTTTCTTTTTCGTTTTTTACGCCGTTGCTTGCCAGTTCTTGTATTATGACATTGTTCTTAATCAAAATTAGCGTTTTGTTATTGTTGAGTGTTGTTTCGCACAGTTAGATACTTAGATACTTACAAGGAAAGTCATTTAACTTAGGTCGGCCTTTTGAAATGAGACACATATATTTGGAATCAGCTCGGAACGATGATTCCAAATATGCTGTCCTTAACTGCGAAGCGTTCCTCTGAAGCGAGTTATGAGCTTTTTCCTAAGCAAAGTTTGCGTGCTGACCGACTTAGGCATGCTACGGTATCGTCATCCAGCAGTTCAAATGCATACGACACCCTGTCAAAGCCAAATGACTTAGTTTGATGTCATTTCGATTTCCCACCACTTTTTAGGCAGATTTTCATCTGAAGATCTTGTTTCCATATTCAGTATATGTCAGTTACACATACTAAAAAGCTCATAACTCGCTTCAGAGGAACGCTTCGCAGCTAAGGACAGCACATTTGGAATCAGCGTTCCGAGCTGATTCTAAATATATGTGTCTCATTTCAAAAGGCCGACCTAAGTTAAGTGACTTTCCTTGTTAGATGGCCCGTTCTGTGGTGTGCGGGCCTCGTACAGAAGTTGCCATTTATCCCTGTCCCTCGCTTCAGACATCCACGATCTTCTTGGCCGTCGTCGGTGGCTGCGTCCACTAGTTCCAGGGAAGAAAGTCGTATCCAACTGATTTCAGCTGGTCCATCCGTTCCACGAACAGTCTGCCCATCTCGTCGGTGGTTTTCCTCGAACACGTTTCGTTTTGCGAAAAAAACCACTCCGATGTTTTTAGTGTCCATCTGTCAATCGTTCTTCTCATGATGTGACCGGCCCATCGATGCTTCGCTTTCGCAACCTCATTCTTCTCAAATCTGTACTGCGAAGTCCGACAAGATGTTTGTGTCGGCTTATCTTCAGAAAACTACGCTCAAGCGCTCTGTGGGCGGTCCTTAGAGCTTTCGACGTGGCTACAGTGTCGGCCCAAGTTTCAGCTGCGTGGCAGAGCGCCGGGAGAACGGTTGAGTGGAACAGGTGAACATGAAGCTCTGGGTCCGTCAGTTGGTCGGTGGCTTCCTTTAAAGGCGCGAAGGCGGCTCAGGCTGCTCTTGTTCGCCTGAGTTCTTCCCTCAAGTCGTTCTCTATGTTTATCGAATTTATACGCAATCTAATCTTCTTCCCTACTTCGTTAAGTGCATCGTCTCTGCTTCAGGATACTGCTTGAGAAAATAACGATGTCGTCCGCAAAACAAAGGTCCGACAGGAATTCTCCCATCAACTCGTATGCCTCTCTCGTCCCAGTCCAGTGACTTCATCACCCACTGCAAGGCCGCGGTGAACAGCTCAGGAGAAACTGTGTCGCCTTATCGGACCCCCTTTCCAATTGAAATGGTCAGGGGGCGATGAAACAGCTGCATCGTTGTTGTACAGTCCTTGTAGCAGTTGGCTAGTGTCCTCACGTAGGCTGGTCCACTCCTTGATCGACTAGCGCTGACAGAATGGCGTTGGTTTCGACGCTATCAAAGGCTTTCTCGTAGTCGACAAGATTAGGGCAAGAGGCAGTCGGTACTCCCGGCAGACTTCTGTGACCTTCAAAACTTCTGGATGTGTCCATGCAATGAAGAAATCCAGTTTGTTCTTGGGTTTGAGCTTCATCCAGTGTTCTAGGTATGCAAGCGAGGATAATCTTCGTGAAGAACTTGTACAGCACACTCAGCAGGCATATCGGACGATAGTTCCGAAGATCCTCCCGTTCACCCCTCTTGAAGAGAAGGACTGTTAATGATGTTCTGTACTGGTCGGGAATCTTTTGTTCTGAAGGTAAGATGTCAAGTGCGACGCAAGAATCTCGTGTAGACGTTGTCCTCCGGGTCACAGTAATTCGACGAAAAGATGGTCTGATCCTGGAGCCGTGAACGTCTTGATGGTCTGGATCGCCGTGCGCACTTCAGCGAGCAGAATTCGTGGTGGTATTTCTCCAGTGGGAACAACGGGCATCAGCACGGGTGTTGATGACCGGAAGAGGCTGATAGAAGCTCTTCGCGATAGATTCCATCTTATATCGGGAAGAAGTCGGAGTTCCGTTTGGTGATATTCACGGAGGTCCCTTCGGCACTTCTTTAGACTTCGTGTTCCTTCGACTGCTTCCATTATCTTGGCTTGCCTGTACTTCCTGAGATCCTCCTGCAAAGCTGTTCTGCAACTGGCGTTGGCTATCAGTCGCTCAAGATGGGTTACATTCGAATCCTGCCTCAGAAGCCTTCTTCTTTGGAGCAATTCCTTGGTGGTCTTCAAAATGCGTTGCAAGTTCTTCTACGAAGTCACTGAGACACACTCTCCGCAAGCTCGCAATCCTTTCAGAAGCCGATCGTAGTCGTACGTTGGGTCCTTCTCGATGGGCTAGTCACAACTTGATATGAGCTATTCTAACCTGTTACCGTCATAAACGACTTCTTTCATTCTTGCGGCATTGTGGAAGACCTTCTTTTGCAGCTTTCGACTGTTTCCACCTTCGCTTGAAAGAGGCGGTGATCGAAGCCACTGCAGAAGGATGGAACTACTGAGACATCAAGCAAGCTCCATCTTCGGTTGGTGAGAATGTTGTCGATCTCCGCGTGAGTCGTTTCGTTGGGCGATTCCCAAGTCCACCGGCGATGTTCTTTCTTCATGAAGATGGAGATTCCATCGAAAAGTAGTGCGGCGGAGAGAAGCCTAACGAGACGGTTGCCGTTTCCGTTCCGGAGCCCATATCCAAACGTTTTTGTCATTGAAAATCGTTAAAAATCGTTTGTTAAAACGTTTTTGTCCAATCCGAAAGGCGCCCTGAGGCGTTTTTGCTACCACCCGGTGCCGTAGACGGGATCCGATGTGCAGGGTTTCTTTCTATTCTTCTAACTGGCGCAGAAAGGAAAGTTTTCCCCTACAAGAACAGACTTACTAGCCCTATCTTGAGCTTCACGGGGCAATCGCTCACCTCGAGCATGAAGCGGGGAGCAGAACCGCCTAGCGACCAGAAAACCAGACGGCGGTGGTTCTGGCCAGGCCGGCTCTTAGCTAGGCATCCAGCCGAAACGGAAACGTCGAACTCCTTCACAGCTTGGGAGGCCCTGCCAGAGTATACACTCGTCTGTGCATCGCGGTTCGACACCCAGTGTCACCCCCACGCCACGATGAGGCGGCCGACCATTGTGGGGAGTTCGCGCAGTCATGCTCGGCTTTTATTCAGTTGTTTTTGTTTAGGCTTCCAAAATGTGACATCATACAAAAGCTACACTTATGCACATATTACTTACGAAAAAAGATTTACAGCAAAAGTCTTCATCTGTAGTGTTTTTCTAAGCTTACTTGTATCCAGACTTGAAGTAATGAGCATAGCAGTACGAAATAACACTCGACAACTACAAAATAGTCAGTTTTGATAACGAACGTACTCATAACACAAAGACTGACAAAAATTACTTTAAAGAACGGCAAAGAATCGTGCGCGAACTATTGAGGAGTTTGTAGCCGGCGATGCCACGACCGGTCTGCTCCTATTCGAATTCAAAGTCGTCAACTGAGCGACCAATGGGGTGAAGACTACTATATATAAGAAACTTTGAGAAGAAATATCCTACAGAAAAAAATTTGACAAGGCGCGCTTTTGTAATGGTTTTTCGCGTCACACCCTGTCTACCCCATTTCTCTAGCAAATAATTGCGCTATAGATCGCAAAATGCAAAACACTTTGGAAAGGTGCTGTTCTAGTCGTTTGCTATCCTGATTCAATGCCGACCGAGTGGACCGACCCCTTTGGGATGCACTCTGATACGCTTTATATCATGAGACTTCCACTGTGACCCCCTGCTTCAGCGACGTCGAACCGTTGAAAGGTTTACTGGAAGACGCCAGACCACGACAACTGGGCAATTTCACTTTCACTGATACGGTCGTTTGTAAGGTAGGTTTCAAAACAGCTGTGAATGGCACCTTTTCCTTTGTACAAGTCGTTTTACCGTTCGTCTTTCAGTTCACTAAAGCTAGGAAACCTAAGGACGTAACTATGCACACAGCAAGTTTTGACAGTGGTGCGGCAGTAATCACATCTAACGAGGCTGTATTTGTGGAGGGGCTTTCTAAAAGAGAATCCGGGTATGTGTGCGCATCCACTCCATCATCCTCTAAAATCCCTTGTACTCAGATGTGTCATGCGCTTGGACGAACGAGTGTGTGTTTACCCTAATCGCAAGTTCATAATCTGTCAGAATGGGATCATTGGAGAAGGACATTTTATCGAGCCTTGTTTGTCTCGTACTAAACCAGCATTAACGGTGGGTGTCTCATCTGATATTTTACGTTCTAGAAGTTTTACAATCATTCTTTGACAGGAGAAGCTGATAGAAGATTTTGAGTTTATTTCTCGCGGTCTCGCCGTGCAAATTGACAACGAAATTCAAGAAAAGGAAGCCGAGCTTGGTGGAGCAGAGCTGAATAGCTCACATTACGATAGCGTGGACTGATAGCTTCGATTCACAGAAAAGAACAAGAACTCGAACATGATACTTGAGAATTTTGTTTCTGATGTTTAAAGGCACCGTCCATCCAAACTGAGGGTGATGAGATTTTTAATGTTATGTAGTAGCGGGGTCTAATCACTCAAATCTTGCTGCAAAAGAAAAAAAACCGCAGTGGAAGAACCGCTCCAGAAGTAAGAAGCGTCTAGTCTACGTTGGCTCCGCCCATTAACGTGAGTGATGTGACGATAATAAGTCCAGAGCTTTTCTACCCGGAATTGTCATGAATGTCCTTCACAGAAATCATCGAATCATCGAATCTGCGACACCTCTATCTTTGAGCTTATTTTCGGACTTGTAATCTTCAGACTCACGGGGGGGGGGGAGCCAGTGTGGCCGCTACCACCTTCTGGAGCAGTTTTGTCGCTTCGGAGTTCATCTTTTGCATCGAGACTTGGGCGGTTGCTTAATTATGGGCCGCTATTATATAACATTGAAATCTTATCACCCTCAAGTTGGGTGGATGGTATTTCTAAGAAATTGGCAGTTGACTGCCCCAACTACACGAGTACAAAACGCATCTGATTTTTTCTTAAACTTGATCAACCTGAACTCATTAATGAATTTCGAGGCCAAAAGACCCTCTATCAATGCTCCTTGCCTACAAGACTGTGGGAGAGCGACCATTTCGCAAGGTACGGTGATGCGGCCGAACTGCTTGCTTGAGAAGTGAAGAAAATGTCTTGTGCTCGTGAAATTGGGATAGTTGGCTGTTGTATTCCTTTTCGGTACATGTCTCTGCGTTTTCTGTAATGCATTGTGTCTCATTTGCGTTAAAAATATGCTCATTCTGAGAGGTTGATCTTCATCTGATGACATTTGGCTTTTCACACAAGAAAGAATGCAAGTCTGGGTACCAGTGCTAATATTGATTTGTAGATTTGAGCACACAGAATTTTAGCTACTTTTTCAATTTTCTTAAAACTATCACATAACTTATAATAACGGGCTAAGGATGTTTACGTGTTTTTGTATGTGTGTCTGTCTGTCTGTCACGAAATTCGTGGAACGGTTGCCAGCCAACATCTTAAGCCCAAATTTTGCACAGCGCATGATACCAACATGAGAGTCCACTATATCAAAGCTTGAGCGGATCCGTTTAGCGGATCCTTCAAAAAATGCGCGTCAATCGGACCCACCTGGCCTTTCGTCCCCAAAAATTGGGTCCCTAATTCCACTTTTTGCAGGCTCGTGGATGTTTATGGCAAGTAAATGTGCAAACCATGAACTTAGGCCCAAAAAAGTGATCAAAAGTCCACTACTTTACAAAAACGGCGCCAAAAAGTATTGGTTGCGTAAATGGTCATTTTGCCAAGCTTTTACCAGAGCATTTGATGAGATTTTTGCACCTAAATGTAGCTTATGGTGACTACTGTTCTTATGGCGACTGCCAAAACTGTGGGAAAATCAAAACGTACAAAATTTTGCTTTGTTCTCCTGCAAAAAAATTTCATCCACGCGAAATCACCGATTTCACATGAAAAAGCTTTCGGAATGAGTAGTTGTTTACATTTCGCTCATGATAGTAGGCATTGCTCGGTGAGTTTCAATGCCATCATTATGCGAGAATGAGTAGGGCCTAGACAGTAGAACCAGTGCGAGCCTCTGCGAAGCAGAGGTGACGCACTGGTCACATAATGAATTAGATATCTGCTTCATTGTAGAAAAAGTTTCCATTCATAGTTTACACACACACAAACACACACACAACACACAACACACACAACACACACACGACACACACAACGCGCACACAACGCATACACAACACACACAACATATACAACACACACGCACAACACACACAACATACACAAGACACACACAATATACACAACACACACAACACACACAACACACAACACACACACAACACATACACAACACACACAATACATACGCAACACACACAGCACACACACAATACACACACAACACACACAACACACACAACACATACACAACACACACAACACATACGCAACACACACAGCACACACACAATACACACATCACAAGAAGAAATGTACGCCAACATGTTTGGGACGAATTCAAATTCGGTTGAAAGAACAATTTTTCTCAATTGAACAACAAAATATGCGAAACGCCATTCTGTAGCCGTTCTCGACTAGTCTCAACGTTTGAAATATTATCTTTCGATGTTGAAACAAAAAGATGCAGCTGATTAACATAATTATGGTAACGTGTCACAAATACTTGCACGGAATAAGTAGCCATACTCTGAGTACTCTGTTTTGCCAGTGCACACTCAATCAGCCAATTACACAAATAAACTTGTCATATGAAACGACTTTATTGTGCTTTGTACTGTTCCAACACCTAAAAAGTTGTAAAACATATGTTATTAGCAGTCCGTGAAAGAAGGGAGCAGTCCGAGAGGTAAGCGAAAACTTTACTGAATGGGGGGCCATACGGAAAAAAATTTCGGGAGTGTTTTTCAAAATTTTCTGGACCTGTATCCCCAAAACTTCGAAAAGGAGGACAAGAGACTTCGATGCAGAGTGCAAGTCTTTTGCACACTTTTCTAACCCATGTAGGCTACTTTTGAAAATTTTGCGATCCGCTCTAGGAAGGGTGCTCCCATTCCCTCGCTTCGCCACTGAAGTCTGCGAACGTGCTTCTTGGCTGAAGAGAGTTTCTTGTCTCGAGAATCTTAGCTAAACATCTTCAGCTATCACAAATTCCTTCTCTGCTGACATTTGCAATATTATGGTGGCGTCGTTTGAGCACCGCCTTATCATGCGGTCTCAGGTCAGCATGTAGAGAACGTTCCAGATGTATCTTTCTATTCTGAGGATGTTAGCTTAACATCTCTGGTCGGCAGAAATTCCTTCTCTGCTGACATTTGCTATGTTATGGTAGAGTCGCTTGAGCGCTCTCTCATCACATCGGCATGGAAATAAATTCCAGATGCTTCTCTGAGCTTTGTGCTCGCTTCTACCGTATATAAGCACGTGCAGCGCAAACTAGCCATTTCTTCATGGCTATTCGGCCTCCCCATTCTTCAAAAGTAGTTCGAACTCATGGGTAATCTCGACTTTTCTGTACCGGTTTTTTTCTGAACTCCGGTTTGGAACGAATGATTAAGGGGTTCGTCTATAAGACTGCTCGATTCTACCATATTGACGATCTATATGGTCTCTGCACCGGCTAAATCCTGGTCCTGACTCCTAATCTGCGAATTGTCTGCATTTAATGCTCAGAGATTTAATCTGCGAATTCTCCCTATTGTAATGTCTGTAGTACTTCATTGTGTGCATAACATGTATAGTCTGTGTTTAGGCTAACTTCCACATCATCGGGGACCATTGGTTCTGGGAAGTTAGCCTGAATACAGACTGTATGTTAAACGCCTTTTAGTTCCACGCATTTGAGTTTTTTACTTTTTTATATCTAATGTTTTCATCATTGGCTTGTGCTGAAATGGCAGTTTGTGCTTGTGTATAAACTTGTGCATATATGTGATTCATATAATGTTTACAAATTAATTCCAGCTTTGCGAGTCTCATGGACCCCAAAAAGGTGGAGGCATTAGCTAAACTTGCGCAGTTTAGACCTGAAGATAAACCACAACCTCATACTTCTGTTCCTGGGTAGGTTGCAGTTTTCCTACTAAGCAAATATTATAAGTTAATCGTTCGACTGAACAGTGTTTAGGCGCAAGTTTGATGATTTATCGCCCTTGCGGTGCCGAAAATATCTGGGCGTAAACAAACTGCTATGCTTGTAATATCGGCATTTTGCAATCACAGATTGTGTGTCAAATCACAGGCGCAAAGAATTGTTCACGCCATACCCTCGATACATAGAGCCGCGTACTCTGGTAACCTTCACTTTGAGGGCTAAGGGGGGAGGGGCACAACCTTCACCTGGAAAAAAGACAGAAGTCATCCGGGGCGAAGCCCCGGATGTTATCATTCTGGCTATTTCGGAACGAATGCTAATGAAGCAATAGGGAATAATATCGTTAGTTTATCTCAGCGAAACCGAAAATTTGCGTTTTATAGCCTTTTTTACGTTGAAAGGAGGGTTTCTGTGGAATTTTCGCCAGAATTCAAGACGAAATTTCTCTGTTAACCTCTCATTTGACCAAAATTGAGTATCAGAAGTTTAGGAAAGCTGTTGGAGTTATATTAAAAGAGGAACTGCGCTTAAATCTTTCGCAGAGGGTCGCGCATGAGAACGCTGGTCTATCTCGCTAATGAGTGGTTTTCAAAGCTTGGGACGTTGTAAGTTCTCCTCGCCGTGTCATGGCGATCAGAATGATATATAATGTTGCAGGGTTTCGTTGAGACCCCGCTGAAATCTACGACCAGAGGCAAATGCCCCGTCGGCTCTGGTCTGTCTCCGCTGCTCGTCTGCGTCTCCGCGCGCTGCGCGCTACCTCGCTACCCCAAATGCGGGGCGCGGGGCATTTGGCTCTGGTACCCTTTTCTTCGCTGTTTCAAATCCAATCTCAGCAAGCTATATATCATTTTGAAGCTCTTTATCTCTATTTTCACGCTGACAACGTCCCAGAACCACATTCTTTGATTTGATCGAGAAATCCGGCAAAAACCTTGTTTTTGAAAATCTCTTGTTTTCTTCTAGTTTAACTCTTTTCACGCGGTTTTTTCGTGCATTCTATAGATCTTGCTTCTGCTCATAATGCAGACAACCACCCAGCCCTTACTTCTTCGATTATGGTAGAATTTTTTGCGAAAAATCGTAAAAAGTGCGTTTTTCTTTGCCTTGTTCTGTTTCAGTGCTTTCGCATCGTTTTTTTTCCAGCATGAGCGACTATTGCTCAGAACAATAAGCGCAACAATCCAGACAACGTCCCAGGAAACAGGAACGTCAATGCGGGGGTAAAAATTCAAAGGACGCATCAAAAATCAAAACCCCGTGTTGCGAATTGCTGGTCTTGGAGCGAAAACTTGCATCTGAAAAGTCGCCAATTGAATGATTTCAAACCTTTTTGCAGCGTTTTCATCCGGTTTTCAGCCGTTTCTTTTGCTTTTTATATCCGTTTTATGTCATTTTCTCATCTCTGATCTTCTTTGGACAACCTTCACTATTTATGACGTCAAATGTTCAAACAACCTTCACTTTTGACGCCCTGTCTCTAGACTATCGAAGGTATGGTTCACGCGCAAATGTTGTCGGCACTGCATGGAAACTGTATCAAATGTCAGATCTACAAGCTCATATATTAAGTGGCGAATTATTAACCATTGGTAAAGCGGTTCATTTAGTATCGCGCGTTTTTGTTGAAATGAGGATTATCAATTATTTTTATGAATTTCAAGAAGTATCAAACAACTTCTCAAGCTTTGAAAGTACTTCCCTTTTTTAAAATTAAATTCTTTATTTGCAATTTTTTCTAACCATTCAAATACGCAATTAATACTGGACTTTACAAAATAGCATTGCATTTTTTGCCTTTGAATCTCTTTATATGGTAAACTTTTCGACGAGTGAACATCATTTTTTTTCCAAATTCTTTCAAAAAATACTTGCAAACGCAAATAGCCCACCCTATTGTGCCACCCATGTGTTGACAACGTTCTTGATTACAAAAATACGGATTCGATCTTTTGAGTGAAACTATTACATTTTTGGAGCATGTGAAAATGAGAAATAGGCAACAAAAACAAGAACAAATAACTACAGAAGGAAGAAATTGGGCGTAGTTTACAGTAGTGATCTTGGCTTTTGATGTTGAGAAAAAAAGAAATACGAAAGAAAAAAAACCTTCTTAGAGGATATTTTAATGGGATAGCCCTCTATTATCCGGCTTTGGGTCCTTATATTAACATGTGTCGGGAGTGGTCATCATTTTGATCGCAAGTCAGTATCGATAAATCATATAGTAGTACACTTCCATAGGGCTCAATATTAGATGTGCACTGTATGGCTATTTTTTGCGCAATTGTACTGCAAGAAGAAGTCGCATCAGTGGAGTGCAACTCACTATAGCGGCGAGCCTTTGATTGGTCCGCGCATTGGCTACGATTGGCTCGTCTTTGAGCGCAGGGCGTGTTGTGAATACTGTACTTGACACAACTCATCCACTTTTTGCCGACCGCATGCGGCGGAACGAGCGAATGATTTGAAAGTGCCTGCAATGCTTACTCAATCTTACTGCCCTAAGTTACTTGTTTTAGCCCTCTCAAGCCAATAGTGAATATTCTACTAAAAGAAGAACCAAGGTTTACTGAAGCGACGTTTACGGACAGAGTTCGAGTTCAGGTATTCCCTGTTCATTGACCGCACAGACTAGGCGTGTCTGCGACGGCTGCGACGCGCGGCTAAACCTTTGCGAGCGATTTGTACTGGGACAAGCGTTTCACTGCGTGTCGCGTGCGTCGCAGTGACGGCTAGTTCGTGTGGTTAATGAATAACTTACAGGCCTTAACATTTATTATAGACTTTTTTGTTCTAATTTTGTTATTAATTTTATTACAGCTTTATTCAGTCAAAGATATCATAACCGGGAAGAAGGTTGAAACTCCCCATACCTTCAAATGTGGTTCAGAAATATACACAGCGCGCGAAGATGCATTCGCCTTTACCGAAATCACTGTAGAACCAGGGAAGACTGTCGAGTGTGTTAGAGTTTCTGTTTCCTTCTTTTCATCATTATGGGATTGAAAATGCTATTATTCAGGGTCGATGTATCCTTGGAAGACCAAGTGAATTTCTATCCTCAACAAAAGATCATAATTTATGATGTGTGGTTCTATGGAGAAGGAATCGTCATCCAGCCACTTCCATCAGTCAATAAACAAACTTTTTGGGTGAGAATTTATATCCCGTAGGGTTTTTTTGTAGTTTTTTACTTGCGTCTTATAATATTTCTCTTTAACAGCAGAGGATGCTTTGGGGGAAGTGAAATCCGCACTCTGACAACGATGAGCATGTGGGCTGAGATACCGTATTCGTTATATTTCAGGATTTGTCTATTTGGTAAATCGGAGGTCGATTTGTCAGTATCGGTGACTTGGGGCATTATATTCACTTTGTAATGGGTTTTTCATGTATTTGTCAATAAATTTTCCATTTATTTGCACAATAAAAGCGTAAAATGCGATGATATTGTTTTTTTTTCGTTTCCGGAATAGGATGCTTAGCCCATGAGAGCTCGGCTATTCCCTAGCGAAATATTAATTGCTTTTGCAAGGCCATACATTTTTCACAAAACTCTTGAAAGTGTAATTTTCTGTAAACACCGACCGTGATTATTTTCGACACAGTCAATGGGTAGAAAAGCACAATTTTGGAGAGGTGATGTGATTTTATTGTTCCTAAAGGCTAATCCGAGACGTAAGCAGCTGCCCTTATTAGAGAGTGTGCGCGGGCATAAAATCTACAGTGATGAGAGACGTTCGAAGGCAGCATTCGCAGGCTTTTCGCGCTATAAACCTATACGGGATCGGCCATACTATTCCTGCTATTCCTACGACTCCTGCGATTCCTGTGAGTCCCGCACAGTTTATACGCCGCTTAAATGAGCGCGTGTTGCGTGTTACGTGTTTTTTACGCAACACGCGCTCATTTAAGCGGCGTCTAAACTGTGCGGGACTCACAGGAATCGCAGGATTCGCAGGAGTCGTAGGAATAGCAGGAATAGTATGGCCGATCCCTACGACCGCCTTTTTCAGCGTCTCTCAGACTGAGCGCATTTTTATCCCTCTTACCGTCTGCTGTCTCTCCCAAGCACAAACTCTCTTTGCTGCGCACGGCGTCTAGTCTTGGCATGGGCTGATTTGTTAACCACATGCATCGTCCTTCGACCGCGATCAAAGCAGACCAAGGGGTTTTCAGTCTGAGTGTCCGGTCGACGCGGATGGGATCGCGCTGCTTCGCCTGGGTCTTTCGTCGCGTTCGCATTAAGAGGACACGGAGTTTCCTTAGGCTAAAGCGTGGAAAGTAACGTATCTTTACGCAGCTTTGACGGATTTTACCAAAAGTTTTGTTTTACCTACAAGGAATTCCAGCCTGAGTGTCACGTCGGCGCGCCTTGGCCTCTTACGAGCCGCGTCGCCTGGCCCTCGCCGCTGACGTGTTTGAGAAAATGCTCCGAGACACGTTCGTGAACGCGGCGAGGGCCAGGCGATGCGGCTCGTAAGAGGCCAAGGCGCGCCGACGTGACATCAGGCTGGAATTCCTTGTAGGTAAAACAAAACTTTTAGTAAAATCCGTCAAACCTGCAGATGACATGTCAACTTTTTTCAAACAGCAAGGACATGACACTTCTTTCTATAAGAGTTTGAGTTTTTTGTGGTATAAGAAAAGAAGCAATAGGCAATAGCCGTACTGAAGCTTCGATCAGTTCAGCTGAGCTAAACTGAAGCTCTCAGTAGAAGTTCCGTCAGGTGGAAAGATGACCGCCCACTTCATGCTATAAGCATGCAAAGCGAATTGACATTTGGCCATTCGTCACCTGCCGCTTTCAAACGATCCCCGTCAGTTCACGTTCAGATGAGACGTGAACTGATGCAAATAGCGTGAAAAGGTGAGCAGAAAAGATTTTGTGAGCTACTCCTTAGTGACTTATGATCCATCTCAGTTTACAACCGGACATGAAGATGAAATGACGAGGTACGAGACATAGGTGCAGGCTGGTACTTCTTAGCAAGATCTGACAAGTCCGGCCACAACTCTGTTCCCGTCCAAACGCAAAGATGTGAAGTAGGCGAACGCGTGCTTACTTGTGCACGTGTATGGACGCGACGCTATCAATTACACAGTCATAGATTTTAATATACAAAGCAATGGCTCAATTGAGGCTAAGCTGACTTGTTGTAAGATCCACTGAGGAAAACCTCGGTTGAGATTGACCGAGCAGCTTTTCTACGGGTACGTCTTTTCAGAAAAATGATGCGGATAATGAAAAGGTGCATTCCGTAGAGCTAACAAGGGAATGGTCAGAAATCGAAGCGGCCAATTCAAGCAAGCTGCATACCATTCGATGCAGCATAGAGTGCTGATTTCAGATCTGTCTTCCTTATCTGCAGGGCGCTTTTGTAGACAAATTTATAAGCCGTTAAATGTCATCATTTTGCTAAGAAATTGTGCGTGTAAAGGTCAAACTTGGCCGTACAAAGCCATTCTCGGCTCAGTGTTGGACCAAAACGTGTAACTAGGTCAGTTCATATGGCTCGTACCTAAAGGTGAGCTAAAAGAGCAGTGATCTGCCTAATTTCACAGTTTTTGTAGACGACATTTCCGCAGTAAAGCTGCTCATAACTTCGCCCACAAAGGCGCTCTGCAGATACGGAAGACACATTTGAAATCAGCATTCTATGCTGCATCGATCGGTATGCAGCTTGTATGGATTGGCCACTTCGACTTCTGACCATTCCCTTGTAAGACAGATCTTGTTTCTTCCTACAATTTTAGAGAGGCACATGATGCTGACCCACAAAATACGAACATTTCTAAGTCGAGTATCCTAAACATTGTAAAGGCTGTAAAAGTCAACCGACTTTGATTTGACACATAGGAGACAATCATGTTTTTTCTTTAGCATTCTCATTCTCCACAGAAATTCAAGCATAAGTGCACCGATGCAAAATTTTGAGTTCTTTTCACGCAATCTGCTGAAGAAGGCAAGCTCTGAGTAGCTTGAACATGTAGGACAAGGACGAGGAGAAATAATGCGAGGCCGAGATTGCATATATATCTCTCCAAGAGAAACCAATATTCTGAAGTTTGAAGGAAAAAATTCTTTCTTCAAAAATCATGAAAAAAAATTTATTCCATCCAACAGAAAACCTTACTTCAAAACTTCAAGAAAAAAATTGCTTCTTACATCTAGAGCTACAGCAAACCCGAAAATCTGGAAATATTTCACTCATTTCCAAGTTCTCCCCTTTATTTTTCAGTTTTGTCCTATCAAGGTTTGTTTCCGAGTTCTCTTTGATTCCATCTTGTCTTACGAATTACAGGTTGGATACAATTCCTCATTCTATGAAATTACAAAAATATGGAAAGTCTTGTTAAAACATAACCCCCTAACTAAGGAAAATCACTTGTTTCAAATTGATGAAGAGCAAGGATGAACAACATTGCCACAATTTCCGGTCTCTGTAAAAAAACATTTTCCTACTTCCCACATTGAATGCTACAGACTCAATCTCCGTAGAGCGAACTATTAAAAATAATGCTAATCCAATGACCCAACTTGGTTTTTTGCCAAAATGTAAGCTTTTCACAGCGATCAAAGCGTTCGACAAACGCAGCTGGCGAGGACATCTGCGAGAAACTCCGCTAGCTTTTTCTTTCCTTCTTGTCAAGTCTCCTTCCGCGCAACACATCATCGTCTAGCCAGCGAGGGCGGAGCTTTGCAGAAAATACCGTGAAATCATCATCAGCAAGCATTGCATGATTGAGTTCACAGCGAGTTTTGGCGTTTCTCTTTTGCACCAAATACTCGATCTACTATGTTATAAATACAACTGTGAGAGTAGGCGCAAGTTTTTCTTGTATTGTAGCATTTAGAAAATAATAAGAATGTAAACAGTTACTAATAAAGCCGCGTAAATTCTCCAGTTTGCACTTTACGGCTTTTCACACGAAGATGTTATCGGCGGTATGTACACTTCATGTCAATTACGTGCTCCCTTTTCCGTAAGTGCAATTGCCACGCTAGAGCTCCGCGCGCGCATGAGTTGAGTATTCAAATTGGCCTTATTGATTGGAGGACTGTTGCTAAAAAATAGTCTCCGTAGAAAGCAGAGAAAGTGATCGTTCAGGAGAGGAAAAATGACATGAGTGTGGATTTCTTGCGGTTGATCTTTTAGGAAATAGATTTGAGATATTGTTAAGTAGATTTGAGATCAACATTTTGAATCCTTAACGTGCTCACTCTTCAGAGAATATTTTAACTTTGTGAAAATGGCAAATCTCAAATGTCACAAATGCATCCGATTAGTAAGATGTTGTGGTATATAGCTTTGCTTGCGCGCCCTTATCATGCACTTCCATCACATTGGCATTCGGAAACTTTTCCGATGTTCAAAGAAGCTCTTAGGTCGCTGCTACTGTCTGACAAAGTGCAAAGCAAGCCAAACATTCCCCCATCTCAACTCTCCCTCTCTTTCGTTATGGTTAAAATAAATATCGAGCCGAGATGCCCTTCGCGAACAATTTTTGCAATTTCTGCTCAGTGCTTAATAATGAGGTTTTCTTAAAACTCCGCTGTTCACTCCATCATTGTTCACTATCATACATGCAGGAATACTGGTAAGATCTATCGTCTGCACATACTAAACATCTCCCTTTCGCAAATAAGTGCCATATCCAGAGTAACGCATTCACGGTTGAAATATAGTTTGTATTTCAGGCGAATTTCCTTGTCGGCTAAGAACTAGCGGTTCGGGGAAGTTAGCCTGAACACAGACTGTAAATCAAAGGTCTTTTTTTCACGTGAATTCATTTCTATTTTTGGGGAGGGGAGATATGCCTTCTAAAAAAGTGATACTTTGTTTCCAGTGGCGTACCCAGGATTTCGGCTCGGGGGGGGGGGGGGGGCACGACAAAAATTTTTTTCTAAAGAAGGTGCATGGCGTCAGCCACGCATCCGAAAAAATTTTGGGGATGCTTCCCAAAATTTTTTTAGGTCCCCGACCCCTAAAAACTGGAAAAAGGGGGCGTGGCGTCAGCCACGCCCCCGAAAAAATTTTTTTTACAAGGCTAAATTGAATTTTTAAAAATTTTTAAAAATTATTTTAATTATTTACAAAAATAAACACGTCACTTACACATTTTTATAACCCATATAAGTAACTTCCAAAAATTTCGCGACCCATTCTCGGGGGGGGGGGGGGGGGCGCGCGCCCCCCCCCCGCCCCCCCCCCTCGGTACGCCACTGTTTGTTTCTGTTACTGAACTTCTGTT